TTAGTGTGGAAACAATAAAGAGCTATTTTATTGATTTTTCTTTTAGACTTATAAGATTCATATTTCCAATGCAAAGGATTTAAGTACATTATATTTTAAAAAACATATGAAGTAGAAATTGTTTCAGTCAGCAAAATAATTTGATGGATCTTTAATGAATCTCTTGTTACACCTCATGCATGTTTTTTTAAAAAAAAGCATTAGAAAATGTACCCCTTGCAGTGTGCCTTGAAAGCTACCAAACCTAGGCATAATCAGGTATGAAGAATGCCATCCAGTAAGAGCGTCTTTTTCCCAAACTGTTGCAACTACGATTATTGAACTCAACCATCCCAACTAATTTCAGCTACTGGATAAAGCATAAATATACTGGATGCAGATCCTGAAGGGTTTTATAGATAAATGCACACACCTTGATTTTCCTCTTGGAATTAAGTGGAAAACATCTGGGTCCCTAGAGTTCAGGTGAATGTATACATTTTACACAACCTGCTTCTAAGGATCTTTTAATGGCACATGGACTCGCCGCCCCTGCCCGGGGGGGGGGGTTGGCAAAGCAGCCTGGTCCCTAGCCCCCTGCTTTAATCGCTCCACTCTGTTACTTGGAGTGTTGTCCTGACTTCCGAGTGCAGAGGAAACCTGTGATGCGGGGGAGGAAACGGTGAATTTGATCTAGTTCAACCTAGAGTCTCTGACCTGGTGTGTTGTCCTAGGCAAAAGCTTGGCTAGAAGTTTATTCTATTTTTTTATAGCTAGTCCTTTGGTTGTGGTCACTTATCTTCTTTTAAGGATCCTCTTCTGGTCAAGTGTAGAAAAATTAAATGAGTCATTATGGAAAAGCTGATCTGACATACTTTAAATTAATGGAGATTGCCTATCTCCTAGAACTGGAAGGGACCTTGAAAGGTCATTGAGTCAAGTCCCCTGCCTTCACAGCAGGACCAAGTACCATCCCTGACAAATTTTTGCCCCAAATCCCTAAATGGCCTCTGTAAGGACTGAACTCACAACACTGGGTTTAGCAGGCCAATGTTCAAACCACTGAGCTATCCCTCCCCCATCTTTGACCTTCATGGGTCTGACCTCAGAGCATTCAGGATCCCCTTCCACATTGTGTGTTTCTCATGGGAGCCTGGACAGGACTCCCGGAGAAGTCAAAGGGATCTGCACCCCATCTCGGCAGTCAACAGTGACTCTCAACCAAGCAGAGCTTTGTTTGGCATTATTTGTATGAAGGGACTGTCTAGTTCAATCTAGGGGATGTGGAGCCATGTTACAGCATGCTGCATGTTCCCTCTGCATGGCTTTCCCATGGCTGTTTGTATGTGATTAACATGATTTTGCATCCCTCCTTGCCATGCAGACAAAAGGAGCATATGCTTCTTAGTATGTGTAAGCTTTCCTGAATGTTGTTTAGTAATGTATAGGGGATGTTAAATTGCATGTAATCAGCTAATTGAATACACAGTGGAATTTCCATTGACTACTTGATTAGTCAATAAGGGGGGAAACTGCACAGCTGCAGCGGGTAGCTAACCCTTTTGACTGTATTAAGAGCTGCCAGGCAGAGGCATAACAGGGGGACAGATGTCAGCTGGGAATCAACTGTCCCATCTTGCTCCCTGTCCTCTCTCTCGCACTGCACCTCTGCTTTGCCAGGCTCCTAATACATTTAAAAAGCAGAAGCTTGCACCCTGTCCCCTCTATGCCCCTGCCCTCCCAGGTGGAATTTTAAGCTGGCTCCCCCCAGCACCGACCCCTGCCTTCCCCTATTTGCTGCCTCTCTCTGATAGAGGCAGCAAGGGGAGGGGAGGAACAGCTAGTCAAGTCTCTACTCAGCTACTTGATAAGCATATGATTATCAGGTAGTCGACTAATCGCTTACATCCCTAGCAGTGTGGCATCCAAAAGTCTTCCCCATATTCCTTCTGCCCTGCTTGACACCCAGTTACTTGCAGCTTTCCATTATTATTCAGTTCTTTCTGGAATTGTATAGAGTTTCATATTCCTGCATTAAACATGGATCCATTTTCTCCAGAGATTTACACGTCATATTGATATTGGCTCAAGATCTCGAGAATGGAGTCTGACCTTCTAATTTATGTTGTATTGCAGTGAAACCACAACCCCTGTGGCTGACTTAAATTAATAGCTTCAGAGGGGCAGCCGAGTTAGTCTGTAACAGGAAAAACTTAAAAACAGCAAATAGTCTAGTAGCAACCGAAAGACTAACGAAACATGTAGCTGGTATCATGAGCTATTGTGGGCACAACCCACTTTGGTTATGCCCATGAAAGCTCATGATACCAGCTACATGTTTCGTTAGTCTTTAAGGTGCTACTAGACCATTTGCTGTTTTTAAGTTTTTCCTTTTTAAATGAATAGGAATGACTACATTTTCTGATCCTATGCTAGAATGCCAATTGTCGCCTTACTGAGGGATAAAACAATAAGTGCTGAACAGCTAGTGTTTTTACTATTCAGTCAAGGCACTAAATACACTTAGTTCCCACCTGATTAAATCAGTCTTATGCAAGCTGTTTTCTTTGGCACTCCTGCTCTTCAGTTTATGCAAGCTTCATGTGGGCCTGCTCCATCCCAGCTGGGTCCACCACACAGTGATGCAGGCAGGGGGCTGCTCCAGCCAGGCCCACTGAGCCATGCAGCACAGGATCCTGTTTAACTGGGTAAATTTAACATTTAATTGGTTAACATCCCTAATTTAAAGAGATTGTTGAATACTATTCCAACTCCTCAAATTAATGCTAACCCTCCATTGCTGCTATGTTCTGAGCAGCACCCCTCTCTGTCCCTCCAAAAGGATTTCTGAGATAGTGATAAATTATGAGATTATCAGTGTTAATTACTTGATAGTGACATCCTGGGAGATGAAATGTGTACACATTGTTAATGGACCCAGCGTCTCCCTGCTAAATTTTACTAATCACAAGGATCATTTATCTAAATTACAGATTGTAGCCCAAATTTCATCCTATACTTCCAGAACGGTATGAAAAACTGTCTGATGCTTGGAAAGAGAAGAGGGTCCATGTCCTGCTTTTCCCTAGCATGAAATGGTTACCATAGAAACAGGTGTTGATGGACTGATCTATAAAGAGTAGGTAGATAACTTCAGAGTAGGGGAAAACATTTGACTTTGTCCGACCAGAGGCAGCCCAGATTTAGACTACCCTCTGGAACAGATCCATCAATTGAAATTGTAACTGCAGGTGGTATTTAGAGTGGAAGATGTTAATTATGAGGGTGGAAATTAACCAGCAAACTGAAGTTAGTAATTCTTTTTTGTTAATGAAAACTACCGGGGACTATTCAGTGACAAGTGGTCAGTGCTTTGGTTTTACACAGCAGCTTCGTACCGTCTACGTTTTTTATTAGGCTCTAAGGTACTGCAAGACTAGTTGTTTGGTTTTTAAGTTTATTCAGCTTCTCATCTATTACTCCTATATTGTTGCTGTCAGAAAACCATTCTATTTCTTGGTAACCTTTTTCTTTCACTTATCCTTTATTGGATAGCCTTTTTTTTTCTCATGTGGTTAACATTGTGCTTCTGAGACAAATTTAACACTCCCTATGTCAGACTACTTTGATTTGCTTTTTGCAGTTGACTTGACATTATTAGCCTGTTTGAAAACTCACTTTATTTTAAGTGGTATTATGTAAGGTTTGCAAAGAATGAAAAAGCCAGAAAAAAACCTCTAATCTAAAACTAGTCTTAAAATGTGTTTTTTGGTTTTGCTTTATCTCCAGTTAATTTAATGCAGCTATTTGGCTTTATTATTGTACATCCATATAAAAATATATGAATCGCAGCACTTTTTGTATAATAATGAGTACCTGAGAGAAGAAACTTTTTAACACAGGAGGGGGCAGGAAATAGAGAAATATACACTGTTGTGTAATTTCTGGGAAGCAAAACAGCTTTGGCACACATTGGAAAGCAGGCATCTAGGAAAAGTCCTGGTGCCTGGTTCTCTTCTCTTTTAGGATTTAGTGTGGAAACAATAAAGAGCTATTTTATTGATTTTTCTTTTAGACTTATAAGATTCATATTTCCAATGCAAAGGATTTAAGTACATTATATTTTAAAAAACATATGAAGTAGAAATTGTTTCAGTCAGCAAAATAATTTGATGGATCTTTAATGAATCTCTTGTTACACCTCATGCATGTTTTTTTTAAAAAAAGCATTAGAAAATGTACCCCTTGCAGTGTGCCTTGAAAGCTACCAAACCTAGGCATAATCAGGTATGAAGAATGCCATCCAGTAAGAGCGTCTTTTTCCCAAACTGTTGCAACTACGATTATTGAACTCAACCATCCCAACTAATTTCAGCTACTGGATAAAGCATAAATATACTGGATGCAGATCCTGAAGGGTTTTATAGATAAATGCACACACCTTGATTTTCCTCTTGGAATTAAATGGAAAACATCGGGGTCCCTAGAGTTCAGGTGAATGTATACATTTTACACAACCTGCTTCTAAGGATCTTTTAATGGCACATGGCTTATGTGATGAGTATTGCAATCTTTATCATGTGGAACATGCTACCTACTGCCAACTTTCAGAATTTCTACAAAATGTCTTAAAACTTGGTATCTCAGAAGTGTTTGGTACTTTATTTTTATTATCAAAATATTATTCCTGTCTGTTCTATGCAATTTTTTCTTGCAGCAGTTCTCTCCATCTCTGTTTATTAAATTTAAATGGTAAAGTTTGTATTATAATTGCTCTTATACATAAAGGTGGTTGTGGAGGGGTGGGGGAAAAGAGTTTTAACAATATTAGTTCTGCCTTTTCATTGTTATGTTTTTCTTCTTCCTTATATTACATTCAGCAGTGTCATATATAAATCTCAACCCACATGTATAGTTCTCATTGAAATTGGATAGAGTTTTGTCCCCCCCACTCCCATCTACTGTGTCAATCCTTAGTGTAAGCCTAACATTAAAACTCCGTTTTGTGTCTTAATTTTTAGTCTGAAGGGAAAAGCCACACAAACGCTGGGGATGCCATTTACGAAGTTGTAAGTCTACAGCGGGAGTCTGAGAGAGATGATGAATCAGTCAGTCCAACAAGTGGAGGGGTTCCACTATCGCCGCAGGAGGATGAGGCAGAAGAAGGTAAAAGTAAAATGAGCATGTACTATTCCCATATATGCTACTGTGTTCCTAGTTTTTCTGCCTTTTATTCCCATATAAAAGAAACAAAAAGTGCATCTTCATACCAGCAATAGTGTCAGACACTTTAGATTGTCCTTTCTAGACTGTGTTATTCAGATGCTGCAGCAGACAGAGTGCATCCATATAGTACTGTGCGTCAAAATTTATCATTCCTTCTTACCTGCTAGGCTAACAGGATAGCAAGCCTCTGTTAAAGAGGGTTTCCACCAATCAGAGTCTGTTGTTTGCTAGAAGCTCTCGTAATTAACAGTGAAGCCAAGAAGCTCTTTGCTGTTTATAGTAGTGATGATTTCTGACTCAGTCTCTGGTGCCTATGGATTACTTTTTATGTACTTAAAAATTATTTGTGGATTTTTTTTCTGTGTGCTTGCAATCTATCCTGAATATATTTCAGATGTATACTAAGTGTTCTTTATGCACCTTGTTTGACGGAGCAGTCTTGAATAATTATTATTGCACTATTTATTCCTTTTCCTCATGGCGTGTTATTGAGAATAACAAGTGATTGTTAAAGGATTTAATGAACACTGTGCTATTAGAAAATAAATATTCTCTAGATATTGTCCTCTTGTTACTTTGTACAACAGCTTTCTTTAAAAACGGGGTAAATAATAGTACAGAGGTGTGGATAGCATGAAAAATAAAATGGTGAGTTAAGTTTAATGTTAGTTTCCATATGTTAAATTGAAAATACTTGCAAAGGAAATAATCTTCTTTTTAAAATTTCATTATGATGTAATACTGTTCTCATGGAAACTGCATTTAAAGTACTTGCCTAGAAGTTATTGATCCTGCTAGGTGTTGAGATTAAATGAGTCACTACCAGTTGTTCTAAATACATTTCCATTCTTAAGTACCTTCTTTTGCAGATTAATCAGTATCATGGAAAAATATAATATTTTCCATTCTGATGGCTTTCTTTTGTATTTTTAGATCTTGAATTTGTTTGTATTATTTCTGTTTAAGGTCCAGGACCATAGATACATGTCTTCATATTTGTTTTCTCTTTACCTGGCCTTGACTATGGCATGCATTATATTTTATAGGGGCTTTCCCACTTCATAGGCTAACAGTTGATCCATGTATGGTTTGGGAAGAGGGTTGTTCTTTGTTCTTTATTCTCCACTCCATTAGCTCCACCATTCCTCATGATTCATTGTATGACATATTAGCCTGTAATATTATTTATTTATATAGTGCCATAAAAGTGTATGGTGCTTTATTTGCAGCCTGAACCTGCTTCCTTTCTCTATGCAGTTCTCTCAATTTCTGCCAACTGCAGGACTAAGCATGGTCCTTTGTAAGCTAGATGATTCATGCCATAATTGAGAGTGGAAATGGCACTTGAAATATGGGACAAAATATTCTTTCAGTTCATACGTGAAGAGAGTAGTTGAGTAGGACTTCTGTGCTGCTGTTTTGTTTGCAGGCCAGGTGTAGCTTTTCTTCCTATTCTGGTTTCAATGTCATTAGCATTTTAATGTGATTGGGAAATATATTAGTGTGTAGTAAGAGCAAGAGCTTATATAAAACTGGGTAATCTTTTTCTAATACATAAATCATATCTTTGTTCTTACTGGTACTTTGGTTTCATCACACTGACTTCCAGAATAGTGATAGAAATGTAGCCGTGTTAGTCTGGGGTAGCTGAAGCAAAATGCAGGACAATGTAGCACTTTAAAGACTAACAAGATGGTTTATTAGATGATGAGCTTTCGTGGGCCAGACCCACTTCCTCAGATCAAATAGTGGAAGAAAGTAGTCACAACCATATATACCAAAGGATACAATTTAAAAAAATGAACAAATATGAAAAGGACAAATCACATTGCAGAACAGAAGGGGGATGCGGGGGGGTGGGAAGGGGGAGGAAGGAAGGTAAGTGTCTGTGAATTGCTGATATTAAAGGTAGGGAGAGTGGGATGTTTGTGAGTTAATGGTATTACAGGTGATAATTGGGGAAACTGTCTTGGTAATGGGTGAGAAAGTTCAAAGACTTGTTAAGTCCTTGTTGGTAAGTGTCGAATTTTAACATGAATGACAGTTCAGAGGATTCCCTTTCAAGTGCAGATGTAAAAGGTCTTTGTAGCAGAATGCAGGTGGCTAAGTCATTTAGAGAGTGTCCTTTCTGGTTAAAGTGGCAAGAAACTGTTTTCTCTTTGTGATCTTGTCTGATATCTGTTTTGTGGGCATTAATCCTTTGGCGAAGTGTCTGAGATGTTTGTCCAATGTACATAGCAGACGGACACTTTCGGCACATGATAGCATAGATTATATTTCTGGATGCGCAGGAATATGTGTTCTTGATCTTATAACTCACTTGGTTAGGTCCAATAATGGTATCAGCAGAATGAATATGTGGACAAAGCTGGCAACGGGGTTTGTTGCAAGGGAAGGTACCAGGGTTGGTATTAGTGTGGTATGTCCTGTGGTGGTTGGTAAGAATCATCTTGAGGTTAGGTGGTTGTCTATAGGAGACTATGGGTCTGTCTCCCAGAGCCTCTTTGAGTATGGTATCCTGTTCCAATATAGGCTGTAGTTTATTGATAATGTGTTGGACAGGTTTAAGTTGGGGGTTGTAGGTGATGACAAGTGGTGTTCTATTGTTGGTTTTCTTGGGTCTGTCTTGAAGTAGATGGTTTCTAGGTATTCGTCTGGCTCTTTCAATTTGCTTTTTTGTTTCTCTGGGTGGGTAGTTGAGATTTATAAATGCTTGGTAGAGATCCTGAAGCTTCTGGTCTCTGTCAGTGGGGTTAGAGCAGATGCGGTTGTATCGAAGGGCTTGGCTATAGACGATGGATCGTTTGGTGTGTTCTGGATGGGAGCTGGATGCATGTAGGTAACTGTATGAGTCGGTGGGTTTTCTGTAGAGAGTGGTGTCTAATTTTCCATTGTTGATTTGTACGGTGGTGTCCAGGAAGTGGATCTCTCGTGTAGAATGGTCCAGGCTGAGGTTGATGGTGGGGTGTAGGTTGTTGAAATCTCTGTGGAATATCTCCAGTGTTTCTTGGCCATGCGTCCAGATCATAAAGATATCATTGATGTACCATAGGTAGAGGAGGGGTAAAAGGGGACGGGAGTTGAGGAAACGTTGTTCTAGGTCAGCCATAAAGATGTTAGCATACTGTGGGGCCATGCGTGTACCCATGGCTGTGCCGCTGATCTGGAGGTATAAGTTGTTCTCAAACTGGAAATAATTGTGGGTGAGAGCAAAGTTACATAGGTCTGCTATCAGGTTGGCAGTAGTGTCCTCTGGGATAGTGAGGACTTTCTAAAAGATCTTTCTAAAAGATCTCTGCAAAATCACACAGTGGGCCATTTAGGAATTTTTCAAGTGCACATAAATTTTCATTACTTTTTATCACTAGCACTGCAGCTTATATTTCTGTCAGCTCAGTCATCAAATCTGAGAGCTGGAGGCGGCACAGAAATGTTCCTTTGCTTAGGTGATCTCTATAGTCTTATTTAATTAATATTAACAGTTTGCTTGTCAAAGCAAAAGAATGCATTGAACCTCCACACTAAATTGCCTTACTTTGCTAACAAGATTGCTTAATTCAGACTATAATTTAACTAAAAAGATATCCAGATGTATATTAACTAAACTTTCTCTTATATGTTGTTGGAAGAGGTCTCAATTGAATTTAATTAGGGTATCTGTGTTCAATTTCATAATGCATGGCAAAGTAGTGGGCGGGTAAATTATTAATGTGCAATTTTGAACTTTGACAGGGTCTAAGGCAGGACTGGTTCAAGTACACTCATATAGGGGTGTCCTTTGTAATTTTTTTAAATTTCCTCTCCCATTTAAAATTGCCCCAAGAGAAGTCCTCAGACAAAGAGCCTTGAGAAGCCAGGAAAGAACCGCAAAGGATGCATCTAGATGATGGAGGCAGGACTCACCTGAAAGCGGGGGTTTGCAGGCATCCACTAGAAAATGGGCACTATGAAATAGCTGTTAGGGTGGAGACTTAGAAGGCATGATGAGAGGCAACATGTAATGAAGTTAGGCAGTTGGTAGGTAGTGAGGAAAGACAATTCTCCATTACTGCTGCAAGTCATCTATGACCAAACTTCAAGTTTTAGTATCCCTCTCACGTGCCTGGCCAAGTCTCCTGAGAATTGCTTCTTAGGACATGACAGGTCTGCTTTTTGGAAGGCTAAGAGGTGGCTGGGAAGGAAAGCAGTTTTCAGGCCTAGGAGATATAGCACAGGTTTTCTCATGTTCATTCCTTATAGTGTGTGATGGAGGAAGGAAGAATAAGTAGGCTCTGAACAAGGGAAGAAAATGAAACAGTTGCTCAATACTGTTGAAATGGTTGCAACTAAACTGGTCCTCCCTGTTTTTCTTTCCACTGTGTGTTGTATAGTCTTCCAGAATTAGTCTTGGTGCAAGCTCACTGAATTGAAGGCATTAGCTTCAGTTTCCTCTGAACAGACACTTGGGGGAAGGAGTATAAATTGGTTGTTTAGGAGACAAGAGTTGGAGACTGCTTATGGGAAAGCAATGTCTCTTGCTTGAGAGCCTAAGACTGGATTGATTAGGGGATGGGGAAAGTTATTATTTGTGAGTTAATTTATTTTTATTTCTAATGAGATTTGCTACCCTTCGAAGGCAATCCTTGATGACTAAGTCTGTTTTTTGTTTCTGCTGAATCAGTCCATCAGCTCAGTGCTCCTTTGACATAAAGTTGCTATATAGCAACTAGATGTAAATTATTTCGCAAATTAACTTGTCATCATTATATCTCTCACAGTCATTAAATTGTTATTACAATGATGGCTTCTGAGTTCTTGATGTGGTTTTGCATGATTTCAAAAACTAAGGCTTCCTGCTGTTGCCCACATAAAATTATACTTAATATTCAGTACTTTTAGAAAGTAGTTCAGAAGTAGGAAATTGATAAGTAAAATTCTTTCTTTACAAATGTGCCAAAATT